GCTCACTGCAGCCTTGAACTCCTAGGGACAAGCAATTCTCCAGTCTCAGCTTCTCAAGTATCTGAGACCTCAGGTCCACACCACTGTGCCTGGCTAATTTTTAGAAATGCAGTCTCACTGTGTTGCCTAGGCTTGTCTCGAACTCTTAGCCTTGACTGATCCTCCCATCTCAGCCTCCCAGAGTGCTGGGATTATAGGCATGAGCTACTGCGCCCATATCTTCACATATCTCAGCCCCCTCATCTCTTTTCAATTTTCTTCTATTTATCTCTGAAGAGTACTTACTGAAAAAGTCGCGGCTTCTTAGAGAACCAGTATTAATGTTGTAGGAATTTAGTTTTCAGGAATTGTCTTTCATGTTCAGAAATAAGCCAAGTTCTGCTCCAGCCTCCTTATTGGAGTCTACTCCAGCCTCCTTATTGGAGTCTACTCCCTGAAAGCCTCTTGAGGTAGTGCTTTATGACTGCCATTGCTGCTGGTGCCTTTGGCAAGAATGCCGTTCTACCCAGTACTGTCTTTTTCTGTTGTAATTCTCTGCTGGTACCTGCTCTTCTTCTGTTCCCCACCTGGAGTTGTTCTTTGTTGCTGGGCCCCAAAGCCTTCTGCTTGTATAAATAGTTTTTTGGGCCTTTTTGAAGGCCCAAATTTAGTCCTGAAGGCCTGGTGGGAGATAAGTTTATCTCATTCCACCTTCCATAGTTCTTCCTGACTTGTTGTTCCACCCAGGCACCAGAGCAAAGAATTCCTCATCCTCATTTCAAAAATCTAAAAACCTTATACATATGAATTCATAAAAACTCATACAAATATCCAAGGAAATGGAGGTCACAATTTTTTTTTTTTTTTTTTACCATAAAATCACGTTCAGCTGGGCACATGTCTCACAAATGTTACTAGGTCTTATAAAAGAATATTATATCTGATTTAAATAAGAAATTGAAGTGTTTTTATTACATATCTCTTTCCTAGGGTACAGCCAAAGACCGGAGCTTTGGAGAGATGAAGTTTAAACAGTGTCCTACAGAGAACATGGCTCGTGAGCATTTCAAAAAGCATGGGGCTGAACACTACTGGGACCTTGCGCTGAGTGAATCTGTGTTAGAGTCCACTGATTGAGACTACTGCAAGCCCTTGCCTCTCCCCCCCTTGCCTTTGTCTCTTCAGTCCTCTCACTTATTCTATTTCCCAACCCACTCCCACTTGTTTGTGTGATCTCAGAACTGTGCCAAGCAGACACTGGGACAAAGGGAGAATATCTTGCTCCCCTCCCGAGTCAGCCTGGTGTTGCCCTTTATTCCCCTTATGTGCATATGATTAAAGAGTTATTTTTAAACTTGGTGTGATATTTTTCACACATTCCTAAGTACTAGAGTTTGGGTCTCCAGGTGATCTTTTTTCCAGACTTTTAGCAATTGCTGTAGAAAAAAAATTTTTTGTCATTGACATTTATTTATATATATAAATGGATGAATGGATGGATGGATAGATGGATGTGTATTTTTGAAGTCTAGTGGAAATGTCTGATCTCATCCTGGAGCTAGAATGATAAATACTGTTTTCCTGGAGCAGAATGAAGCAGGGAGATGTGTAAAGTGGTAAGGGAGGGAGGAGGGACAAATGAGTATCCATCCCTTAACTGAGAGAATCACCAGGTCAGACAGATTACCTCAGGACTTGGCTAAGTAGTCTTTCCAGGAAATCAGTTCCTCTAAGGGGTGCATATGTGGGAATGTGTGTTGTGGGTAAAAAGGACACAGGGAGAGTCCAAGGAGGATGCTATGGGTCAGTTTGTAAAGTGGAATAGGATTTAAGAATTTAGCCCATTTTGTCTCTTTTACTAGTTTAAAAATTCACTTCCAGTAGAAATTGTGTAATTTTTTTTTTTCTATCTATGAATCCGACTACCTGTGGTTGGTTTTATTTCAGCATTTAATGTTTCTGGTTTGATTTTAGGAGTATATGAGTCAGCATAAGTTATCTATTGAAGTCCAAAATTTTTACCATACCTATCCTTCTGTTTCATATTGCCTGTGTTGGGAATGGATTAAACAAGTCAATAGAGCTCCCATGCCTTCTTGCTAGGTGGAGCATGCTATGAATTGGTATTTGAGAATGGATGTCTGACAAGAAGTTAAAACATTCTGTGTTATAAAATTCCCTTTAAAAAAAAAATCTGTATTTCAGGTACTGGTCAGAGTTCCAACTTTAAGGTAGTATTAGGGAGCACTATGGTCAAGGAGGTGGGAAGAGATAGGGGACCACACAGCTTTGCACTACTTTGAGGAAAAACTAGTGCAACTTCTCTCCTTCTTAATTTTAATTTTAATTTTTTTTTTTTTTTTTTTAGACCGAGTCTTGCTCTGTCACCTAGGCTGGAGTGCAGTGGCGCAATCTCGGCTCATGGCAACTTCCACCTCCCAGGTTCCAGCAATTCTCATGCCTCAGCCTCCTGAGTAGCTGGGACTACAGACACATGCCACCATACCTGGCTAATTTTTCTATTTTTTAGTAGAGACCAGGTTTCACCATATTGGCTAGGCTGGTCTCGAACTCCTGACCTCGTGATCCGCCCACCTCGGCCTCCCAGAGTGCTGGGATTACAGGCGTGAGCCACCACGCCCGGCCTGATTTTAAGTTTTTTAAGTTCCAGCTCAAAGGATTCTCCTTTTTTAGAGATAAACAAGCTGAGCTTGGTGGCTCACGCCTGTAATCCCAGTACTCTGGGAGGTCGAGGTGGGCAGATCATCTGAGGTCAGGAATTTGAGACCAGCCTGCCCAAGATGGCGAAACCCCATCTCTACTAAAAATACAAACAATTAGTGGGGTGTGTTGGTGGATGCCTGTAATCCCAGCTACCCAGGAGGCTGAGGCAGGAGAATCGCTTGAACCCGAGAGGCGGAGGTTGCAGTGAATCAAGATTTCATCACTGCACTCCAACCTGGACGACGAGAGCAAAACTCTTTCTCAAAAAAAAAAAAAAAAAAAAAGCCAAACAAAGATATAAGCACTGTTGGGCGCAGTGGCTCACGCCTATAATCCCAGCACTTTGGGAGGCCAAAGTGGGTGGATCACCTGATATCGGGAGTTTGAGACCAGCTTGACCAACATGGAAAAACCCCGTCTGTACTAAAAATACAAAACTAGCCGAGTGTGGTGGTGCATGCCTGTAATCCCAGCTACTCGGGAGGCTGAGGCAGGAGAATTGCTTGGGGAGGCGGAGGTTGCTGTGAGCTGCGATTGCGCCACTGCTCTCCAGCCTGGGCAACACGAGCAAAACTCTGTCTCAAAAAAAAAAAGAGATAAGCAAACTAACCCAGATGAGTGAGGTTCATCATCTGAAGGATGGTGCAGGATGAAATCTTTGAAATAACTCTAGCTTGCCAGAACACAGCAATGAAGATTTTGAGTGCTTACTAGTAATTATATCTGTGAAATTTGGGAGCTAGAGAGTTCAAGTAGCTATTTTAGTATTTCTTGATTTAAGCAAATGCAGGGGAAAAATTCATTGTCATAAAAATAAGTGTTCTGTTAAAGGATTTGTTACAAGTATTTGTGTAAATTATACACTACTTCAAAAATGAATTGGTTGCATAAGATCTAAAAGAAATATTTATATTACAATATGCTATAGTTTATTGTAATGTACCCATAATGAGACTCAAAACTTGTCTTGAGTATATCACTTGTCTCTCTGTGCCTCCAGGTTTTAATTGTTGTTAAATTTTCTCAAGCATTACCTCCTTATTTCTCCTTACAAACTTAGGAGAAATATGCATTTTAGAGGTGAAGAATCTGAGGCTTAGAGTAAATAATTTGCCCAAGTTTATGACTTAGTAAGTTGTAGAACTTAATTTGAACCCAGATTTGTTTGACTACAAACCAAACTCAGCCACTAAGTATATATTGCCTCATTTGTACAATAAAGGGGTAGGGACAGATATGTTCTTTGAAATGAGTGTTATTCTCAGGATAGTTCTTACCTGAGGATGCTGTTATCACTTGAAATACTTTGTGAATTTTGGTAATTTCATCTATTTCCAGTCCTTTTTGAATACCTTTAGTTAATGGCAGTTATTAGTTTTGGAAAGAGTTTTTTCTTTATTTTTATTGGAAGAGTTTTAGAAACCCTTTGGCTGGAATTAATAAATGATTATAGTAAGGTTGCAGGATATAAGGTTACAATAGAAAAATCAGTTGCTCTCCTGTATACCAGTAATGAACAAGTAGAATTTGAAATTAAAAGCAATTCCATTTATATTAGCACCAAAAGGAAGTGGAATACTTCAGGATAAATCCAAATATGTGTAAGATCTATATGAAGAAAACTACAAAACTCGAATGAAAAAAAAAAAAACAAAACTAAATAAATGCAATGGTATTTCACATTCAAGGTAGGAAGATAGATATCAATTCTGGTTGGGTGTGGTGACTCATGCCTGTAATCTCAGCACCTTAGGAGACTGAAGCTGGAAGATCATTGAGACTAGCGTGGACAACATAGGAAGACCCCATGTTTGCAACTTTTTTTTTTTTTTTTTTTTGAGACAAGGTCTCCCTTTGTTGCCCAGGTTTGGAGTGCAGTGGCATGATCTCGACTCACTGCTGCCTTGACATCCCTAGCTCAAGCAATCCTCCCACCTCGTAGCCTCCCAAGTAGCTGAGTCTACAGGCACATGCCACCACACCTGGCTAGTTTTTAAATTTTTTTGCCCAGGCTGGTCTCCAACTTCAGAGCTCAAGTCATCTTCTTGCCTTGGCCTCCCAAAGTGCTGGGATTACAGATGAGTCACTGTACCTGGTCTACAAAAAATTTAAAGATAAAATTAGCCGGGCATGCTGGCATGTGCCTGTGGTTCCAGCTACCTGGGAGGCTGGGAGGATCACTTAGACCTGGGAAGTACCATTGCACTCCAGCCTGGGTGACAGAGTGAGACCCTGTCTCAAGGAAAAAAAAAAAAATCCAATAGTTGAAGGACTGACATTACCCAACTTTGAGAATTACTGTAAAGCTACAGTAATGAAGGTGGTATTTTTATTGTTGTTGTTGTTTTGAGATGCAGTCTTGCTCTACTGCCCAGGCTGGAGTGCAGTGGCACAATCTCAGCTCACTGCACCCTCCGTCTCCTGGGCTCAAGCAGTTCTCCTACCTCAGCCTTCCAAGTAGCTGGGATTACAGGTGCCTGCCACCATACCCAGCTAAATTTTGCATATTTTTAGCAGAGGCAGGGTTTCACCACATTGGCCATGCTGGTCTTGAACTCCTGACCTCAGGTGATCCACCCACCTCGGCCTCCCAAAGTACTGGGATTACAGCGTAAGCCACCCTGGCTGGCTGTTTTTTTGTTTGGTTTTTTTTTTTTTTTTTTTTGAGACGGAGTTTCATTCTTGTTGCCCAGGCTGGAGTGCAATGGTGCAATCTCAGCTCGCTGCAAACTCCGCCTCATGGGTTCAAGTGATTCTCCTGCCTCAGCCTCCCAAGTAGCTGAGATTACAGGTATGTGCCAGCACGCCCAGCTAATTTTGTATTTTTAGTAGAGATGAGGTTTCACCATGTTGGTCATGCTGGTCTTGAACTCCCGACCTCAGGTGATCCCCTGGCCTCTGCCTCCAAAGTGCTGGGATTACAGGCATGAGCCACCATGCCCAGCTGCTACGTAGTATAGTATTGGTGAAAGAATAGATCAGTGGAACAGAATAGAGAGCCCAGAGATAGACTCACATAAATACAGTCAACTGCTCTTTGACAAAGGAGCAAAAGCAATAGAATAGAGGAGAGAGAGAATCTTTTTTAAAAAATGGTGTTGGAACAACCGGACATTCACATGCAAAAAAGTGAATCTAGACACAGAAATTAACTCCAAGTAGGTAACAGACCTAAACGTAAAATGCAAAGCTGTAAAGCACCTAGTAGATAACAGAAAATTTACCTGACCTCGGGGTTGGCCTTGACTTTTTTTTTTTTTGAGACAGAGTCTCACTCTGTCACCCAGGCTGGAGTGCAGTGGCGTGGCCTCTGCTCACTGCAACCTCCACCTCCCAGGTTCAAGTGATTCTCCTGCCTCAGCCTCTCGAGTAGCTGGGACTACAGGCGTGTGCACCACACCCGGCTAATTAGTGTATTTTTAGTAGGGATGGGGTTTCAGTATGTTGTCCAGGCTGATCTCGAACTCCTGACCTGATCTGCCCACCTCGGCCTCCCAAAGTGCTGGGATTATAGGCGTGAGCCACCGTGCCCAGCCAGCCTTAACTTTTTAGAAACAACACCAAAGGCATAATCTATAAAAGAAAAAATTGTAAACTGGACTTAATTAAAATGAAAAATTCTGCTGTGCA